CTACTATGAGATCATCTCTGTTCTAGGTGCACAGTGATGAATAAGACTTGAAATATACACAGGAGGAGAGAAGCAAATAAAATACAATGTTCATATAATAATAATTTTTTAAAATGCACTAACCAGGGTAAGGGAGTAGAGTGTGATGGGGAGGGTCCTTTTTTCTAGAGCAGCTGGGAGGACCCTTCTGAGAAGAAAACCTAAAAGCATAATCCTCAAAGAAGGAAGGGAACTAGCCACGCAGGGCTATGAGCAAAGAACATTCTAGCACAGGGAATAAAGTAAAAAGTGCTGAGGAGGGAATGAATTCAGCACACTTAAAGGCTAGTGTAGCTGAAGCACAGTGGTAGCAGACAAGGTCGGAGACCTAAATGGGTTGTGATCAGACAAGGCTTGAAGGCCGGACTAAGAAACTGAATTTTCTTACTGTGACAGGATGTTGGTCATTGGAGGCTTTCACCAGCAAAGACCTGGTGTGGTCTAAGTAGTTTACAGCACTCCAGCAGCTGTATAGGAAATGGACTGTAGAGGGCGCTAGAGTGGAGGCATGCAAACCAGATCTAGGGCTACTGTAGGGAGTCCACGTTTAAAAGGTGGTGTTTAGAAGACAGTGGTAAGCATGGAAATGGGGATACATACATACACATACACCTTTTTTTTTTTTTTAAGATTTACTTATTTATTTTAGAGAAAGAGGGAGAGAGACTCTCAAGCAGATTCCTTGCTGAGCAGGGAGCCTTAGGTGACGCTTGATCTGAAGACCCTGAGATTATGACCTGAGCTGAAACCAAGAGTTGGACGCTTAACCGACTGTGCCTCCCAGGTACCTAGGGATATATGTTGACAAAAAACCAATATGACTTGCTGATCAATAAAAGATGGAATCATGGACCAATGAACAAAAATGAATGTGAACAGAAACAAGAATCAGAGTACATAATATCAGAGGTGGTACCTAAGTTCTGGAGAGCTTTAATATGCTCTGGGGCTACCAGCTAATTATAGGATCGCTGCAGGGTTGGCATTTTGCTATATAACACCATCCCTCTTAAGGGAGACCTTTACTCAGGCTTGAACTGAATAAAGCTGAGCAGACTTATCTCAGATACCAAAGGGAACTTCAGGAAATGGTGTCTCTTGATGAGCGAGTAAACACGCTTCCTCTCACTGGAACAGCTGGGGAGGCTGCCAAGTGTAAACGTGTTTCTCTATTGTCTCCTCAACCCCACCTCTCCCAAATTCTGGGAGGGCAACAACTCCTTTCACCACTGTACAGTGAGTGTCTGGTCCAGAATATATGTGCAATAAACATCTGTTGAATGACTGTGGAATAAAATGGCAGAGGACCTCCACAGAGCTCAGAGGTATCCTAAGTCTCCCTTAGAAACCATATTTTAAGAGAAAACAGCAATACCCAGGCCAATGCAAAAAGAAAAAGAATAAAGTTCAGGAGAGGGTTGAGATTGAGTAATCAGTAGGAGTTCTAGGATAGAGCCAATAAATGAGAAACTGATTTTGCAAGAGACAGCACAAAGGGCTAAGCAATACTCATTGTTGGGATTTTACAGCTAAACTGGATGATCTCATCACATACAGGATCATCAAATGTCAGAGCTGGAAAAGATCTTGGAAAACTTTTGGATTGATTCGCTCAGTTTACAGATGAGGAAATTAAGGTGAAATGGCTTGGGATTAGAACCCAATTTTCTGGCCTCCGGATGCCAAATTCTTTTTTACATTGCACTGATTAGCAGTTATATTCAACTGTCTTTCCATACAGAGGCTCAAAGAGGAGTTTTCAGAAGCAACTTGGAGATACAGCCTATTTAAGTTTACTCTCCGGTAAAATCCTTTTTAGAATTCATTTCCATGAAAACCAAATCATCTCTTCCTGATAAACTTTTCCTCTAAACATTCAGTGAAAATAAGGCAGCCTATCATGATTCCCTTTTTGACATGGCTGCCAGGAAGCTTGGAGCTAAATTTAATACTTAACTCTCATAACAATAGTGGCTCAGTTTTTGACAAACAGTGCTTATTTCCTCCTCTCCTTTATGACTTCTCATGTTTTAGGATGATTTCAATGGCCTTATTATATATGTTTTTTACTAAAAGTCGTTTCATATTCTCTCTGGAAGTCAGCCAGGTGTAAATCACCAATAAACCAAATAAAGGAAGATTTCATTTCTCTTGTGCACTTGGACCGGCTACTTATATTGTGGTGTCCATTTCCAGATCCCACCCTTGACCTAAAAGCTCAGACCTTACCTCTGGGCTTTATATTTATAGAGAGGAGAGGCCACCGCAGGACAGATTGCATACAAATGACTAGTTATAAAATTGTAGGGTCTGTCTGCTAACTAGGCAAGTCCCTGGAAACTTCTCTAAAATGAAAACAAGATGTGGAAGGAGAGGGCTATGTTTCCTGCGCTGACGTGGCAGGACTTGACTTAACAGCAGTACCCCGGGGGAGGTAAGGCAGCCCGGGCCACGGATGGTCAGCAGGTGGTGGACTGTATCCCATCCAACTCCACGCTTGCTGCTGACTACTCCCCAGGCCGAGAAATGAGATCACGTAACCTTCATCTCTTCTGGATTCTAGCCACGTAACGAGATTAAAGCACCCGGTTTCTGAAAACACGAGGCTTTCTTTTCCCTCCCTAAAATGAAATGCCTCCTAAACCACAAAAATTTAACCCAAGCAGGGTTAGAAGAGCAATAAAGGAGTCCATGCAGAGATCTTCCCTCCCGTTCCCTCATTGTCTCGGTATCGTCTGCTGCCATTTCTGTCCAGGTAGTATAAAAACAAAAAACCAAACAAACAAAAACCAAAAAAACAACATCATTAAGTCTCAGGAAATGTCAACTTCTCCAGAGGACACTGGACTTTCATCTTTCTGCATCTAAGCTTCAGACTTCCTGTGGCTTTTTTGTTATTCGCTCTTTCCCAAGTTTTAAAAATTTTGTTCTATATTCCTATGGTGTTGGCCACGGCTTCATTGATAATATAAGAGATTTGTTCAAAAGAAAAATGGCTTCAGGAGGTACTGTTGCTCATGGAATAGTCCTTCCCTAAAACATCCATTTGGATTCTGCTCATGATCTCTTCCTAGTCAGAGCCAATTTGTTCAGATAGAGACAAGAAGATGCTGCCCTATGTTCCCAACACCTTGAAGAATGAGACCGTTGTAAAAATCTATGATGTTTCTTTAGAGAAATCTCAGGAAAACCACGAAAAGCAGGCAAGACTAGTTAGTGTTATGACATCAGCATAGCAGGTAAGAGTCAACCGGGCCCAGACCACTGAATCTTTACCCTTATCAACCACAGGTGACCTATGAACCTTGGACAAACGGCTAAACCTCAGGCATTACTTTCCTCAACCGTGAAATGGGAACAATAATAATTAGTGCTTACTTCATAGAACAGGCTCTCAAACGCTGGTGTGTGTTGGAAACAATGGGAGGGCTTGCTAGGACACAGATTACTGACCTCACCCTCCCATGGCTTCTAATTTCCTGGGGCCGGGGTGGGGCCCTAGAATCTGCATTTCTACCGAGGCCTCAGGTGACACTGTTGCCGCTAGCTCTTTCAAAGACTACACTTCAGGAACCCCCATCATAGGGCCATGATGCAGATGACATGGTTAACGTGTGTACAGTAAGTGTTAACAAGGACTACTTTTGTGGACTGCTGTCAGGAGGATGCCTGGTAAAAGGTTAGCTAAGTTAAATGATGTCAGTTGTCACTGTCTTAGGCGTTGTCCCTTCTACTTACAAACCCTAGGAAACTTGCAGTTCCACCTTAGGGCAACACATTGGAAGAAACCCCAGCTCCTAACAGAAATATCCTGAGTTTAAAGTATGTATACATTCACAAGAGCTTGTAAATGGTTCTAAATACTTAAAAGAGACTCTATAGATGATCATTGGGTTTCTTTCTCCCTCTCAAACTTGTCAGTACCCATCTGTACTTTTATGATGAGGCAGAGGAGAACCAAAAGCTGACACAGCTACTTCTTGAGGTTTTGTGTCTTTTCTCTTAGTTACAGTAAAAGCGCCAAAACAGATTTAGTCATTAGGGCCAAAAAGAATTCTTCAACTCATTTCAAGTAATGAAGGAGCCCAGCACAGCAGAGACAGCAAGGGCAGTTACAAACATCACCAGCTTCCAAAGGGCAGAGGAAACAGAACCGCGGCAAGAAAAGGGGATTGTTAAAAAGCTCTCCACAACAAAGGAAATGAACGCAAATACCTAACCTGGGGGCGGTCCAGCAACCCTAAGGACAAAGATAAAACGCTCTGATGAAAAGCTGTGGCGGGTTAAGCTCCGTGCAGAGAAAGAGAACATCAAACACCATGTCAAAGGTTAAGATGTTTCTGCCCTGTAAGACGCTTCGACCGTACTTGAGTCTGAAACAACGCGGAACAGGGAAACCGTCGCTCTCTCTTTCCCGTGCCACGCATCGCTTCTTCCAGGAAGAAAACTTTTTTTTTAATAAACCTAGGTCGAGTGCCCCTTCTGTTCTAAGCACAGTGCGATTCAAGGTTCCAGGAGAGGCGGCTAGTGTTTGGTAAACATCTAACTTTTCCAACTCAATCACATCTAAGTTTTTGGTAAAAATTCTCCTGTGAAACATGAGAATTAGATAAAGCATTCTTAAATCGTGATGGCTTCGGAAAAATTAAACAAAGGGCTCATGTTTGCAAGAATGCAAACACACGTCTTGCTCTGTTAAAAAAAAAAACAAAACCGTAATATATAAACCACCCTCCTTGGCACTTCTCTTTCAAAAATGTAAGTGATTATCAGCACTGCGCTGTCAACAGGACTCCACAAAGGTGGTTCTTCAGCTCTGGCGGGGCAAAATATACTACCGGGAGGCGCGCGGGAGAACCTGGAGTCTGTCCCTCCAGCCCAAAGCCTCCCCTGGACTTGACACGGGCGGAGGGAGCGAGACACGGGTCCCCAGCAGGGATTCTGGGGCTGCCACGACTCACCTCGCCAACTTCTCCAGGCTCGCGGCGCCCCGGCGGCCGGCTCGGGGGCGCGGACGCGGGGGCCGGCGCCGCCGAGCGCGCGGGCGGCCCCCGGGAGGGCGCCCGGGCCCGGGAGGCGCTCGGGGGCCGGCGCGGAGGGGCGCTGCGGGGCGGACGCGGGGCGCGCGGGGGGCGCGGGGGGCTCGGCGCGGCCGGCGCGCAGGGACAGCAGCGCGAGCAGCAGCGCTGCCAGCGCGAGCAGGAGCAGCGCCGCCGCCTTGCTGCGGAGCTTCATGGTGCGGCGCGGCGGCGGCGGCGGCCCCGGGGCGGCGGGGCCCCTCTGCGCATCGCGGCTCGCCGGGCGGCGGCGGGGCGAGCGCAATAACGCGGACGGCCACCTTCTCCGCCCGCCCGCCGGGGACTGGGGTCCGGGCAGTCGGCGGGCGGGCGGGCGACGGAGGAGGAGGAGGAGGAGAAGGAGGAGGGGGCGGGAGGGGAGGAGGCGCAAGCCCGGCTCGAGGAGGAGCAGCCCGCGCCTACCGTACTGTGTGGAGTAGCCGCCCGTCCGCCCACCCGCCAGCCGCCCGGAGCCTGGAGCGTAGGCTTTAGGGAGCTCAGCCTCAAATACTCTTCCTCATTCATGCATTCATCCTTCCACCCACCTGTTCATCCATCCATTCATTCCTTCCCATACCACTCCATTTTCTCGGTTACTTCTTCATTCAGTCACTCATTCACTTACCCTCCCTTTCCACCCCTCTCTTCATCACATTTTTCTATGCATTTTCCCCATGGTTTATTTTTATCCATCTTTCCACACACCCGTGCATCCATCTAGACATCCAAGCAGGCAAGAGCATCTCTGTTCTGTTTTCCCAATGCAGGCCCTGACACTTGGTGGATATCTGTTGGACAAAATCACGCCAGATCCATGTAGGCTAAAGAAGTTATAGAATAAATTTCAAAGTCTGGGTTTCAAATCTGACTCTGTCCCCCACTGGCTTAGTGATCCTGAGCAAGTTGCACAATTTGAGCCTTCATGTCCTTACATGCAAAATGGGAATGATGATACTGCTCTCCACAGAGGCATTTTTGTTGGCATTAAATTAAAAAATGCATTCAAAGAAACTAGCACAGTGCCTGGCTCACAATAGGTGTCCAATAAAAGCTCTGTGATAATCAGCACGATAAAATGCAGCATATCACAAATACATAAATGCAAATGTTTTTTTTTTTTTTCTTTCTGATGTGGATTTGACACAGAGTAACAACTTTATCACCCAGTGTAGGAATAGAGTCTTCTGAGACCCTATCAGCTACAATCACCAGATCAAGGTTCTGAATTTTCAAAGTATTCTTTCAGGGCATCTCTAGTCACAAATCTGAAGCATTAGGACACATGCTGTTATTATTCACTATGAACCGACAGCCAGCATTTTATTAACTTGCTTTTTGGCATGGCCACAGCACAAAGACCAGATATAACAATGTCTCTGAGTTTCTACCAGATTTCATGTTGACATATAAATCATCTAAAATTCAATTATATTCCAAATCATTCTTATATTAACATTACATTTTAATTATTTGGGAATCTATTGTATTTAAAATTCTAGAAATGAGAATGTTTAATATCCTGGAACCTCTTGCCAAGAAGGCACATAGAAACAGCAGGGTGCAAGGTCGAAGTGTGGGCTGAGATGTTGCAGTCGAGTGAGCACCAATAGTCAATTGGTTCTCAACAACAACAAGGTATCATCCCAGTAGGAGGCATCTGGAATTGTGAGAAGGATGTTTTGGGTTGTCACAGTGACTGGTGGGTTCTACTGACATGCACTAACACTCTTAAAATCCTCAGGATATTCTAGCATGACAAGAATTGTCCTGGGCCAAGTGCCAACACGGAGGTCCCATTGAGAAGCACTGAGCTATGGTAAGGCTCGGGGCTTAGGCTTTCAGGTTTAGAAATGGCCACCATTGTGTTGCTTTGTGGCCCAGTGAAATAGAAATTTCCAAACTCTCTCTGGCCACCTCTCCTCTTCCTCAAGGAGGATACATGCAACAAAGGTAAAATAAGGCAAAGTAACACTGAAGTAGTACCTGATGGTTTTAGCCTCAAACACCCAAATGGAACTTGGGACAGTTAGGCTTGACCAAACAGAGGACTTCATTTTCTTAAACTCCACTGACTTAGCTCCTTCCCCTGAGTCCAAACCCAAGTTTTGGATTTCACTGCTCTGATTGGTGGAAAAGTACAACTTCTGACATCATGGAAAAGGGGTTCCAGATACTATATCTATGCATCACCCAATTCCTCACTTGGGTGTTCAATACCCAAAATGCTTATTTATATGCTCCCTTCACCCCGGAAATAATTTTCTCGTCTTGGAGTTCTGGCTCTAGACACTCACTTGCTCAAGCCAGAAATTAGGTGGGAATCATCCTTGATGTCCCTATTTCCCTCACCTCCTGCATTAGTTAATCTGTTTTCTATTTTTTGTCTGTTGTGCACAACAAACAATTCCAAAATTCGGTGGCATAAGATAATGCACATACAATCTCATCATTTATGTGGGTCATGAATCCAGAACAGCTTAGCTGGGTCCTCTGCTTCCCAGGCTTTCATAGGGCTCCCATGAATTGTTGGTTCAGTGCAGTGATCTCACCTGAAGACTCAACTGGGGAAGGATGCACTTGCAAGCTCACTTACATGGCTGCTGGAAGAATGCAGTTTCTTTCAGGTCACCTTGCTGCCTGTTGGTCAGAGGATACCCCCAGTTCCTTGCCAGGTGGCCCTCTCTATCAGCACAAGACTATAAGAAGAGTCAGAGAGGACACAGCAATACGAAAATCAGTCTTATACAACCTAATTTCAGAAGTGATGTTCTGTCAGTTTATCTTGTTCTTCTTCTTAGAAGCAAGTCATTACATCTTATTCACATTCAAGAGGAGAGGATTATATAAGGGCTGGAATACCAGGAGGCCAGGATTACCGGCAGCCATTTTAGAAGGCTGTCTTTTTCATCTCCTATATCCAGAGAATTAGCAAATTCTGTCAAAGCTGCTTCCCAAAAATGATTGGCATCTGTCCAGTTCTCTCCTTCTGAATTGCCAGTCATGATTGCTTGACAAGGCCAAACCTTGCTAAATTCTTAATAGCCTCATTCCTATTGTATTCCCTATAACTTGTGCCAACCTCACCACCCACCACCCACCCCCATTATATGATGTGACTGTTCTACGGCTTACATGCAATAGTAATTACCTTCTAATTAATCTCCTTATTTCTTCCCAGGCCTTCTTCCAATTTTTAAGGCGGGATAACTTAAAACAAAACAAAACAAAACATAAATTGAATCTTATTTCTCCCCTGCTTAAAACTCTTCAGTGAGTCATCATGGTTTTTGTTAGTGTGGTTGTTGTGGTGGTGGTGGTGGTGGTGGTTGTTTAGGAGACTCCACACCCAGCATGGAGCACAATGTGGGGCCCGAGCTCAAGACCTGAGCTGAAGTCAAAAGTTGGAGGCTTAACTGACTGAGCCACCCAAGTGCCCCTCTTTCATGGTTCTTTAAGTAAGTCTGAACCCCTTACCATAGCATCTAACTCTAGGATGATGTGACCGCAGGTCTGACTGCATCCACTCTGGGGCTTGCTCCAGCCCTACTGGCTTTCCATCAGGGCCTCTACCATTGCTGGGTCTTACTTGCTTCTGTGTCTTTGCATTTGTGTTTCCTTTTGCTGATTCTAGGCTCTGGAGATACTTCAAGATTTTAGAGAACAAATTTACCAATCTAGAATTTTGTAACCCCATAAATTGTCTTTCAAAGGTGAAGGGGAGGGGGCACCTGGGTGGCTAAGTCATTAAGTGTCTGCCTTTGGCTCAGGTCATGATCCTAGGGTCCTGGGATTGAACCCCATGTAGGGCTCCCTGCTCAGTGGGAAGCCTCCTTCTCCCTCTCCCACTTCCTCTGTTGTGTTCCCTCTCTTGCTATCTCTCTCTTTCTCTGTCAAATAAACACAATCTTTTTTTAAAAAAGATTTTATTTATTTATTTGACAGAGAGAGACAGCAAGAGAGGGAACACAAGCAGGGGGAGTGGGAGAGGGAGAAGCAGGCTTCCTGCTGACCAGTTTTCCTGACACAGGGCTCTATCCCAGGACTCCACGATCATGACTGAGCCGAAGGCAGACACTTAACGACGGAGCAGCCCAGGTGCCCCAATAAATAAAATCATTAAAAAAAAAGAAAAGAAAAGAAATAGACCTTCTCAGAAAAACAAAAATTGGGAGAATTTGTTGCCAGTAGATCTGCCCTGCAAGAAATGTTAAAAGAATTTCTTCAGGGAGAAAGAAAATGATACAAGTAAGAAAAAAAATCAGATCTACATAAAGAAAGGAGGAGTATCAGAGAAGGTATAAGGTAAAATAAAAACTTCACTTCTCTTATTCTTAACTGACCTAAAAAAACAGTTGTGTGTTTAAAATAATAGCAATAGGGGCCCCTGGGGTGCTCAGTTATTAAATGTCTGCCTTCTGCTCAGGTCATGATCCTAGGGTCCTGGGATGGAGGCCTACACTGGGCTCCCTGCTCAGTGGGAAGCCTGCTTCTCCCTCTCCCACTCCCCCTGCTTGTGTTCCCTCTCTCACTGTGTCTCTCCCTGTCAAATAGATAAATAAATAAATAAATAAATAAAATCTTTAAAAATAAATAAATAAAGTAATAGTAATAATGTATCAGATGCTTAGAGCTATGTATAAATGAAATAAATGACAGCCATAATACAAGGAATGGGAGGAGGACATTAGGAATAGTTTATTATTATAAAGTACTTGCACTACCTATGAAGCAGTATAGGGTTATTTAACAGTGGACTTGGATTAGTGGTAAATGTGTAGGGCAAATCGTAGGGCAAGCACTAAAAATATTTTTAAAAAGGAGTATAATTCGTATGCTAAGAAAAGAGGGACAACTGAATTATGTAATATGCTTAACTAGAATCACAAAAAGCAAAAGAGTAGAAGAGAAAAAACTGGAACAAAGAAAAAGGCAACAAATCAAGATCAGTAATGGAATAAATTTTAATCCAACTATATCAATAACTGCTCTATCAATTGTTTAAATACACCAAATAAGAGATTTTCAGTGTGAATCTAAAAACAAGACCCATCTATATGTCATATGTAAGAAACCCACTTTAAGTATAAAGACATATACAGATTAAAAGTAAAAGAATGGGAAAGCAAAGGGGGTGGAGAAAGTTATACCATGCTAACGTTAATCAAAAGAAAGCTGTGG